AGTCATGACCAGTGAAGTTCAACCCTGTTCCAGTATAGACAGTAACTACTACCGAAGACTGTGTATGAGGTTGCGCAACTTAGTGAATTGATCAAGTTAGACATTAACACCGTCTAATGCCGGCTCCAGAGGTCCAGAGGTAAGGCGTTCGCGCACAAAGCCGGAGGTCCTGAATTCGAATCCTTCAGGGTGCAGGAGGCGTGAGTCCCATTCCAGGACGAAGCGGTGGTCTGTCAGTGCTTCCAGATTTCTAATGGTGACCTAACATTGATCAATTCATAGTTTCGAATATGTGTCACTTAACCATCTGCACCAACCAAATCACTCTTGATTCAGATGCCTTGGAGAACAGTAACACCTTTACATATCTGGGCAGCATAATCGACGAGAAAGGTGGATCCGATGCAGATGTGAGAGCGCGGAGTGGCAAAGCGAGGGTTGCATCTCTACAGTTGAAAAATATCTGGAACGCCGAACAGATATCAATCAACACCATAGTCAGAATTTTCTATATAAATGTCAAGATAGTTCTTCTGTATGGACGGGAACTTGGAGAACTACGAAAGCCATCATCCAGAAGATACGAATGTTCATTAACAGTTGTCTACGCAAAATACTTCGGATTCGTTTGTCAGACACCATCAGCAACAACCTACCGTGGGAGAGAACGAACAAGATTCCAGTGGAGGAGGAAATCAAGAGGAAGCGGTGAAGTTGGTGGATAGGACACACACTACGAAAAGCACCTAACTGCATCATGAGACAAGCTCTCTTATGGAACACTCAAGGCAAAAGGAAAAGAGGAAGACTAAGGAACACATTACGCCGAGAAATAGAGAAAGGCATGAGAAGAATGAACAAAAATTGGATAGAACTGGAAAGGGAAGCCCTGGACAGACAGAGTAGGTTGGAGAAAACTGGTGAGCGGCCTATGCTCCATTGGGGGTAACAGGCCAAAGTAAGTAAGTAAGTAACCATCTTCACAACCCCCGTAATCGAATATCAGCGTATAATTTAACTCAGAGTGACAAATTTGTTTAAAACAGATGTATTTCAAAATCATTATTATTATTATTATTATTTTTATTTATAATAAGTATGACTATGATTACTGTTTATGAACATGCCAGGCCCACACAGAAATTCCAATACAAACACTTGATAACAATCCATTGTACAAATATTTATCTGCTGAATTTGTAGATGATGGTGGTAGAATTCGATCTAGTTTATTCAATAAATATTGACATTCTAATTTCATTTGTTTCAATTGTTGAATTAATCGCCATGTTGTTTCACTTGGTGATGGGATATCTAAGCAAAAAATTATATATTGATTAATGTGATGCTAGACAAAACAATACACACTCTGATTTACCAAAATGAGTTTGAGTTTGTACATCTTGACTACCATCTTGATTGTCTTGTACTAATGTTACGTTTGATGAAATGAAGTGTAGACTGATGGAGATGAGAAATATTCTATAAATACTCATTGAAATCATCATAAAAAGCACCACAATTTAAAAGTTATCAACACTTTTTTCTGCTTCATTTATATACATGTTACATGTGTTCATGTGTTCAAGTGTTCATATGGATATAACTTGTTTTCGTGTTGAACATGTCATTGGCATTGATAATATATAAGTATATACATGTCATAATGAAATTTCCATTGTTCATCAACAAGTAAACATGTGTAATAACAGGTTAGTTTTGATTTATTTATGAGAATCAAGCCAAAAAAATGAATCATTTTGAAAACGCGACATGTTGATGACAGATGCCTCATGCATTATGTGGTGCGCGCTACTTATAAGTAGTATATGACGTGAGTGTCAACGTAATGTCTGGCAGCAGAAGATGGGGGAAGATCGAGAGAAAGGAAGTGTGGGAACACAATGGAATTTGTATGAAACGCATGAATAGTGAGTGAAATGTCAGACAATGGATTGATGATGGATTGAAGATTTACGATATGGTTTTCTTATTTTACTGAGTAACTCTGTAATTTTCGTTAAATACAATTCGGTTGCCCTCACCTGTGTTCTCCTTCACTACAATTATAGAGTAATACAGGTGGATGATTGTGGTGGTGGTGTTTGGTTCTCTGAGCTGGATGTTGTTTTGGTTGTGGAGCTTGCATTGTTCTTCTTCTTCTGAACAACATTCTCATCAGCACAAACTTCAGATGGAAGAAGTGAAGCGCATTCGAATTTCTCCACACACATGACCTGTAGCTTGTTCTGCTAACCTCGATCTTGATCGGAACACACAGCATGACTACTGAAACCATTTGGAATAGGAGGCGTGGCACACAAACCAACAGAATCACTTCAATCAATCCTATGTTGTAGACCAAAGGACAAAATGACAAAGGAAGAAAAGCCAAATATCATATGCAAAATAAACAACTGCTCAGACTGTGAAAAACACCACATAGGACAAAGTGGACGGCCTCTTCAGCTTCGTTTACGTGAACATCAACTAGCAGGCAAACGCCACGACAACGCTTCGCTTGTGTCAATACACATGGACAATTATGGACATACATTCGATTGGGACAATGTGGAAATACTGGATAGGGGGGAGGACAAAGAACACTAGGGAATTTTCAGCAGCTTGGCACTCAGGTCAATTAGCAATCAATAAACACATCGACATTGACCCATTTCATTAACCAATCAGGAAAATCATAGGGGACATAGGATGAAGAAACAGATCAAAATGGGGATACAATCACAACAAAGGTGCAAACAACGACAGATTTAAGGTCAACTGCAACCAATCAAGATCGAGGTTAGTAGAACAAGCTACAGGTCAGTTGTGGAAAAATTCGAATGCTTCACTTCAGCTATCTGCAGTTTGTGCTGATGATGTTGTTCAGAAGAAGAACAATGCAAGCTCCATAACCAAAACATCCAGCTCAGAGAACGAAACACCACCACAGTAGAGTAATACAGATTGTTGTTATTCAGTGAAATCTTAAATCAATCATTGTAAGGCCAGCATTAGAAATCCGAGAGCATTGGACGGCCGTTTCGTCTCAGGATAGGGCATCATCCGCAGAGCGCACCTACGACCTCTGCTCTGTTGCTGTAATCGAACCCAGGACATTCGGTTTCCTGAGAGAACAGTCATCCTTTGGAACATTGAACAAGTAAACATGTGTCATATCAGGTTATTTTTTTAAGAAAAAAATTTGAAAATCAAGCTAAAATAATTCATATTTTTAAGTCGGCATGTTGATGACACAGTGTAGCTGGAGCAAGTCTCAACATACATAAAGGGAGAAGCGAAATTCTTCGATACATACAGAACGTGCCAATTAAATCACTGTGGATGGAGATGCATTGGAGGACGTTAAAAAGCACTTGGCATATCTGGGCAGCATCATCGACAATCAAGGTGGATCCGATGCAGATGTGGGAGCGCGGATCGGCGAAGCAAGGGCTGCATTTCTACAATTGAAAAATATCTGGAACTCCAAACAACTTTCAACCAAAACCAAAATCACGATTTTCAATACAAATGTCAAGACAGTTCTACTGTATGGAGCGGAAACTTGGAGAATTACAAAAGACATCATACAGAAGATACAATTATTTGTTAACAGTTGTCTACGCAAAATACTTCGGAATTGTTGGCCATTCAATACAATTCAATTCAACCTGAATTCACTGGACACTCATTTTCTCATAGTGTACGACTCATCTGTAGTGCAATTCACGACCACCACACACGATAATTGAAAGCAAGAACTTCAGTCTCACACGCGAATGCTTCAGCTCCGTTGGTCAGACACCGTCAGCAACAACCTACTGTGGGAGAGAATAAACCAGATTGCAGTGGAGGAGGAAATCAAGAAGAAGCGGTGGAAGTGGATAGGACACACACTACAAAAAAGCACTAAACTGCGTCACAAGACAAGCCCTCACATGGAACCCTCAAGGCAAAAGGAAAAGAGGAAGACCAAGGAACACATTACGCCGAGAAATAGAGAAAGGCATGAGAAGAATGAACAAAAATTGGACAGAACTGGAAAGGGAAGCCCAGGACAGAGTTGGTTGGAGAAAACTGGTGGGCGGCCTATGCTCCATTGGGGGTAACAGGCGTAAGTAAGTAAGTAAGTAATATATATACTTTAATTTTCGCATGTTCATTTACTCACTTACAGTATTCCTAATAGATAAACTTTAGTCATTATTTCAACAAACAAACAGATTCAAGTCAACATTGTTTATTGGTTTGAAGTTTGTTTTCGTATCAGAATTCTGACTGAAAATATAAAACGTGAAATCTATCATAAATATGCGTCTTGTCTTATTTGCTGGTAATTTTCTTCAAAGAGACAAACTAACAAGCCGATTATTTGACTGTCTTCTGATCTAAAACAACTGCATTGATCATGCCATACATACATTTGGATTTCTTTCCATCATTCCTATACTACTTATATATACCGCTTTGTGAGTAGCTTATTAATACTAGATAAATTAACCTTCTATTGGCAAGGGAAATTTTTTTTAGGAGAACCAAGGAGACGCCCCACGTGTACACATTTCAATGTGAGCAGTTTGGTTAAATCCCGTGGTGCAGCCAGAAAGGTACATGACACCCTGGTGAACCATTCTGTTGGGGATGTTAAATCCCCAAAACTCGCTTGATAAATGTTTTCACTTTGGATTTTGTTCATGGGCTGATCAGTTGACCTTGAGATCACATTTCCCACCAGGAAAATCCTTGGCTGTGATTGGTTACTGTGTTATTTTAGTGTGCTATTTTTGTGACTCTCCCAAGGACGTCTCTATGGTGTATAAATAAACGCGATTTGTGTGCTTGAATTCATTGTGTGTGTTAGCTGGATGTTAGTAGAATACAATTTCTACGCTATATCAAGACTTCTTGCTAGTACATTTGGGTCAACGGATCCGAGTAGCCTACCTGGACGCTGGTTCATTGTTTTGTTCTCGTTATTCGACTAAGGTGAACTCGTAATAGTTTTAAGCATACCTAGAGACGAGTATAACGAATTCATAGCATTTATATAAACTAGAACATATATAGTGATTATTTCCAATTTGCGATCGCGTCAATCAGTGTGCATCGCATGAACAGGCCAATTTCCACCCATTCCCCTTACATGACAGTTAAACTCATTATTATTGTTAGCAATGGTGTTATGCAATACAGTGAGTCCCAATGACGATGGCCGTCGGGAATGTTACAAAACAACCACTAGTATCAATGAAGTCGGTCACTCTGCTAACCAGTTTTGTATATAGACTGTTAGTAATACTTGCCAAGCCATCCATAATGTTTACAGCAAACCTCTGGTCTCATAGGAAACTCTTCATCTCTATAAAGCAGTACAGCAAGGGATATACACATAGCGTGGCATAGGATAGCAAGAGATGCAGCCCAGCCCAGCAAATGAGTTCAAACACTCTTAATAATCTTTGTCTCATTTCAGGTAGTGTGATTTATTCGCAATACCCGAAAATTTCAGTTTTCCCGGCCAAATGAGACCTAAGTTAGGGGTAGTATTCTTAACTGATAGAATGCATATGTACAATAGTTATTGTAAACTAATTCAATCTTACCCTTCGTTATTTAAATATTCCGCAGTCATAATTAAATTATTGAGATTCATATTTTGCTTTCTTCTGATGATCGGCTGCATTAAGAAGACCTAAGCATCTAGGAGAGGCAAAGGATACAATGGACAGATAAGATGAGGTTGAGCTAGCGGTTCTATCTCACATACAGCAACAAAGGCAGGAGACGATGAACAGGGTAGCAGCAGCCGCTTCAGCAGTAGGTCTCAACATACAGATGAGGCAAAGCAAGATCCTTCAACATAACACCAAAAAAGATCACACTTGGAAGATGTTGGAGACGTTAGATCCTCAGAACTTACTTGGAAAGTGTCCTAATTTTGGATTTTGTATGTTTTCGAGCATAAGTTGCCTAGTTGCCCTTCAGCTTACATTTCCCACTCGGAAAATCCTTGTACGTCATTGGTTAGTCAGTACGAAGCTATTTTGTGGCTCTCCCAAGGACGTTTTCATCATTGTGTAAATAAGCTCGATTTGTGTGCTTGTTAACTTCGAATTTTCTGGGTGCTTATAGAATACACTTTCTACGCCTTATCAAGATTTCTTGATATAGTTCGTCGGACCTGGGACAACGAATTAGAATAGCCTATCGTGTCACTGCATCATTTGTCTTCGCTCTCGTTTACCGAGTAAGATGAACTCGTAATAGTTTCAAGCATATCACTTGACGAGCATATCATCTGGCGACTGTGGTTTTTGGAAACATGGATCCTTCCAAACTGGAATAATTACTTGAGCAGCAGCTGAAACTAATGCAGATGTTGACAGATATCAAGATTTTACCTCCAACACAACGTAGCACATCTAATGCAACAACAGCACCATCAGTAGACGGCAAATGCTTCAGATTTGTTTGCTAGATAGCATGAGCAACAGTCTGCTATGGTGGAGAGTGAACCGTCTTCCAGGTGAGAAAGTGTTGGGGACGTTATATCCCCAGAACTCACTTGGAAAATGTCCTAATTTTGTAAATTTACTCTGAAAATTTGAATTTTATGTTTTGGCGCCAAAGACGCTTATTCTTACTTTCAGCTTGTATTTCCCACTCAGGAAATCCTTGACTGGCATTGGTTGATGGATTATTTTAGTACTCTATTTCAAGGCCTTCATAAAGGGCGGTTATTCAGTTGTATGAATAAGCCTGATTTGTGTGCTTAGTTACCTCGACCTTTCTGGGTCCTCGTAGAATACATTCTCTCTACGCCTTATCAATAGTTTTGCTTTAGTTAGCAGCGCCTAGGAAAATCGGATCAGAATAACCTATCTTATTACTGCATCATTGATTTGCACTCCATTTAACAAGTAAGCTGAACTTGTATTAGTTTGAAGCACTTCAAGAAGAAATCAGGAGAAAGCCGCTAGAGGCAGATAGGACACACATTACGGGACTAACTTGACTGCATCATAGAACTACTCCTCACTTGGAATCATCAATGAGAAAGCAAAAGTACCAGACAAAGGAGCTCAATGTGTCAAGAGTTGGAGACAGACATGAAAAGAATGCATAGGAGCATTGGTTAGAACAGGAAAGGGAGGCCGAGGACAGAGTAGGCTGAAGAATACAGGTCGGCTGCCTATGGTCCGTTGGGGTTAACAGGCACAAGTAGGTAAGTATGTAATTTATTGAACAGAATTATTGAATCGCATTTTGAAATGGATTGATTATTCGAGATGATATTTGACGTGCATCATTTTACACGGAGTAACGTTAAATAACACAGAAATATTTCAACATAATGTCTTTCTCATCCTAGTATGTAACTCGTCAGTAGTGTATCCATTAACAACAATCTATATAATCCGGTTGCCCGGATTAAATTTAACGAAGATTACAGGGTTACTCAGTAAAATTGTAACACCATATCGTAAATGGTTAATTTGCAAAATATCAGTTCATCATATCGAACTGGACTGACTGTTCCTGTTGCAAAACATCAATCCATTGCCACCCACCATCCATGCGTTTTATACAAATTCCATTGTGTTCTAACTAACTCTTCCTTTCTTGATCTTCCCCCATCTTCTGCTGCCAGACATTACGTTGACGCTCACGTCATATACTACTTATATGTAGCTCGCACCACACCATGAAAGATTTCATCCAAAAGATAAAAGTGTTTTCATTAACAGTTATCTAAGCAAAATATTGGGGATCCGTTGACCAGATATCATCAACAACAACCTACTGTGAATATGTTCGAAGTTATTACGCGTTCACCTTATTCGGTAAATGGAACGAAGATTAACGATGCAGTGACACGATAAGCTTGTCTAAACCTGTTGTCCCAGGCCCGGCTAACTACAGCAAGAAGTCTTGATAAGGCTTAGAGAATGTATTCTACAAGCACGCAGAAAGATTGATGTTGTTAAGCACACAAATTCCATACAAATTCCATTGTTTTCTAACTCTTCCTTTCTTGATCTTCCCCCATCTTCTGCTGCCAGACATAATGTTTTCACTCGCGTCATATACTACTTATAAGTAGCTCGCACCAGAACGTGACTGGTGTAGTGCAAACTTATCTGGTATACGCAAGAACCCACCGAACACAATTGGTGAGTTAGACATGAAGACCGTTGGATACCGGCTGAATGTTTCACAGCTTGAGCGTTCGCTCGCGAGATCGAAAGTCCTGGGTTCGATTGCAGCAAGTAGGTGTGCTTTGCAGATGAGGCCCTATCGTGAGACGAAATGACCATCCAATGCTTCCGGATTTCTATCAGTGGCCTTACAATAACTGATTCATGTTTTCACTGAAAAACAACAGATTGTTGTTTGAATGAATGAGACATCTGTCATCAACATGTCGCATTTTCAAAATGACTCATTTTTCTTGGCTTGATTCTCATAAACAAATCAAAACAAACTAACCTGTTATTACACATGTTTACTTGTTGATAAACAATGGAAATTTCATTATGACATGTATATACTTATATATTATCACAATGCAAATGACATGTTCAACGCAAAAAACAAGTTATATCCATATGAACACATGTAACATGTATATAAAGAAAGCAGAAAAAAAAGTGTTGATCATTTTTAAATTGTGGTTTCGTGATTTAGTCATTGGTTGTTTTAATCAGTCCAGCTATATGATTTCAATATTTCTTATCTACCTTAGTCTACACTTCATTTCATCCGACGTTCCTACAATTCCATTAAGTCAAGCTACAAAAAATGTCGCTATTCAAACGGAATATGGTAATTTCTTTTTGATTCAATAATCAATAATCGCATGAATTTTAGATGAACGCACAGATCCTATACTGTTACTCGAAGAGTTACAACGTGAAATGACAAGATTTCGTGAAATTTTTGATCGACTCGCTAATAGAATTGATCATTCTGTACCACCGTCTAGTTTAGCGAATAATATTGTTTTAAATGGTTCATTGTTTAGTGCATTGATTAGTTTGATAACATATTTTATCGTTCATAATAAATTTTAATTGAACATTGAACAGTATTAATTAAAAATATACATACATACTGTTTGTGATAAATCGATTTTTAATTTTTCATTAAAAAGCTAAATACAAGATGATGATATATCTGAAATGAATTTTTTGTGCGATTAATTTGCAATGGAATGTATGAGTGTTTGATGAAGTTAGGTTGTCTCTCATTCATTCATTCGTCGCCACTTGTAAGTCGCGTTACATTATCTTGTGTTCGGTATTTTTTGTAGGTAAGTAAGTAATATTGTCTTGTGATAATAATAGATTTTATAAGGAATATTATTAGTTTTGAAGTTATCGGGACACATTTTCGAAACCATGAATCGATCAATGTTAGATAATAATCATTAGAAACCTGGAAGTACTGAAAGATGGTCGTTTCCTATTGGTATGGGACTCATCGGTGGCAGTGCGCATCTACAACTCCTGCACCTCGCAGGATTCGAACTCAGGACCTTTGGCCTAACGCCTGGACCACTGAGCCGGTATCTAACGGTGTTAATGTCTACTTTGATCAATTCACGGAGTTGCGCAACCTCATGCACTGTCCACAGTAGTTACTGTTTACACCCGAACAAGTTGAAATTCACTGGTCACGATTCCTCATGAAGCTGGTCACTAGTGAGCACAGGTAATCGAGAAATATCATTTTAAAATGGAATATATATCAGTCGAAAGTAGTATAAAATTATATATCACTTCCGCGTCTTGTCGCTATTGGGGTAGAGGCCACCGACTAGTATTCTTCAACCAACTCTCTTTTCGGCCTTGCTTTCCAGTTCCTATACAACTGCCGTTCATTCTTTTTATGTGTGTCTCAGATGTTCGACACAGTGAGTTCCTTGGTCTACCTTTCCAACTTTCACATTAACGATTCCAGGTTAGGATTTGTCTCATGATTTCTCCAATGTGTTTCTTTTTCATTTTCATTGCCTTTACCTAATCGTGGCCTCATCTGGAATGTGGTTTGTTGCATCTCATACTAGATTGTTGATGATGGTGTCTGGTCAACCTTATTTGGAGTGTCTTGTGTAGACAACTGTTCTGTAGTTTTCCAAGTTTTCGTTACATTCGATAATGTTGGTTGACAGTTGTTGTTTTGAGTTCCAGATAATATTCAATCGTAGAAATTCTGTCCTTCCTTTGGCAATCTACGCTTTCATATCGGCATCAGATCCACGTTGTTTGTCAGTGATGCTAACCAGATATGTAAAGGTTTCTACATCTTTCAAAGTATCTCCTTTAAGTGTGGGTTGGCTTATACATGTTGCGTTGTATCAGAGGATCTTATTAGGTCGCTTGTGTATGTTGATGCCTACTGCTGCAGAGGTCGCTGCTACATTGACCATCTTCATCCATATTTTGTTGCTGTTTGTAAGTTAGAACAGCTAGATCATCCGTGAATTCTAAATCGTCTAGATTCATTGGAGCTGCCTACTGTACTTCTTGCCTTCCCTGAGATGTTGACGTCTTCATAATCCAGTCAATCACTACCAGAAGAAAGAAAATGGGTGACAGTAAGAAATCTTGTTTGACATTGGTCTTCATTTGGAACGAGTTGATGAGCTATCCTCCATGCACAATCTTTCATTATATATATGTATATATATATCTTACAAGCTTAGATATACTAGTTACTTGAATCACTCAACGATTTACTCACTGGCTTACATTATGTATGTACTTCTTCAATCTTCTTTATCAAATCAGGTTTTCACAGTTATTTGCCTTTTGTTCTAACCTGCTACGTGTGTTTAGCGCTCTTGTGATCTATACTGTACAATCGTAATCCGCCGAAATTAACGGATGACATTGCACAACACCGTGGATTGACTGAAGTTAGACTTCAACATCATTCGATGTTGTCTCAGTGATCTAAAGGTTCATTGTTCGCGTATGAGACTGAAAGTGCTGGGTTTGATCCTCACGACTGGGGTCATTATTGCGCACAGCTGCGGAGTCCCATATGAACGTCCAGTGCTCCCAGGTCGATTTATGATTTGAAATGAAACTCAACAATCTGTACAACTGTATAATGAAAACACTCATAAACTGCATTCATCTCTGTTTACTATCTTTTGAAGTTTATACACTGTTAAGTGGTATTTTTTGACGATTTACAAGCAATTCCATTCATATTGTGTATTTATAACCAATAAGGCTAAACTTAGTTAATGCGCGACAGTTGCAGCATAGATAAAACGTCAAAGTAAGTTGACTCATTCAAGACACTAAGAGATCTGATATTGTTGTTTGTAAACTTGAACTCAAAGGTGAAATGTACGTTAAAATAAGTCTTTTTATGAAAGATGGTTTTGTTAAAAGCTGAATTCCTACATTAGTCTACATAAATTCATTCGTTATTTTGAAGCAAGTTATACTGGACATAAGTTCGTCACTTAGTATGCTTGAGGCTATTACGAGTTCACCTTAGTCGATAAACGCGAACGACACAATGAACCAGCGTCCAGGCAGGCTACCTTGAATCCAAGGCTGAAGTAAAAAGGCTTTGTAAGCGTAGAAGTATATTCTATAAACACCCAGCAATTACAGTACAATCAAGCATACAACTCTCGTTTATTTATACAACATAGAAACGTCCTTGAGACAGTTAAGAAATTAACATACTAAAATACAAAGCAGCCAATCACAGCCATGGATTTTCCTGGTGGGAATTGAAATCTTAAGGTCAATTGATCAGCCCATGCTGGCAAACGTGAAAACCAAAATAAGACATTATCAAGCGAATTTTGGAGATCTAACATCCCCAACAGACATTCAATACAACATATACATAGTTAAGTGTCTAGATTCAAACTGAGCCTAATTCAGTTATGTATACACTGTAGAGGTGTTGGTAATTCACTATTTTCAGCCAGAACTCTTTGTACAAATTAATATATTCAGGCTATCTGTCTACCATGGTGTTGAAATCTAATTATTTTCAATAAGAGTTATCAAGATTAGTGTGTTTACACATTTGAAATCATCAACACAATCATTGTTAGATCACCATTAGAAACCTGGAAGCACTGACAGACGGCCGTTTCGTTCTAGTATGAGACTCATCAGTGGCAGTGCGCATTCATGACTCCTGCACCTCGCAGAATTTGAACCCAGAACCTTCGGTATTGTGCTTGAACGCCTAACCTATAGACCACTGGGGAGGAATTCAATGGTGTTAATGTCTAACTCTGATTGAACTAGCGATTTTGCATGACCTCACCAGTTTGTCTTCGGTAGGTACTGCCTACAACACCCGACAGTGTTGAACTCGATTGGTCACATCTTCTCACTAGGACTCAAAGAAGATTCCTCACGAATCTAGTCAGTAGTGATGATTCCCATACCAGGACATCTAATTACTTATTCTTGGTAAATTAGTTGTTAGTAAGTGAATCTGATGTTTCAACTTCATTCAATTACACAATCCTCTTTAGACATTTGAAATCTTTGGATACTTTGTTTTTTACAATTCTTTTTTCTGTGTTCTGAATGCACATTTCTGAGAAAATCTATCTTCTTGTGCGGCGGAGATTACTCACAATATTACTTACTTACTTACGCTTGTTACCCCCAATGGAGCATAGGCCGCCGACCAGTATTCTTCAACCACCTACTCTGTCCTGGGTTTCCCTTTCCAGTTCTGTCCAATTTTTATTCATTCCTCTCATATCTTTGTCTATTTCTTGGTGTAATGTGTTCTATGGCCTTCCTCTTTTCCTTTTGCCTTGAGGGTTCCATGTGAGGGCTTGTCTCATGACGCAGTTAGGTGTTTTTCGTAGTGTGTGTCTTATCCACTTCCACCGCTTCTTCATGATTTCCTCCTCCACTGGAATCTGGTTTGTTCTCTCCCACAAAAGGTTGTTGCTGATGGTATCCTGCAAACGAATCCGGAGTATTTTGCATACTACTGTTCATAAACACTTGTATTTTCTGGATGATGGCTTTGGTAGTTCTCCAAGTTTCCGTTCCTTACAGCAGAACTGTCTTGACAATTGTGTTGAAAATCCTGATTTTGATTTTGGTTAAAAGTTGTTTAGAGTTCCAGATATTTTTCAACTGTAGAAATGCAGCCCTTGCAGTAGTTCGCAGTAAAGTGCCTGTCGTCCAGAAGTTGTAGTCGGAGAGGAAAATGTCAGATACGAATGTGTTTCATGATCAAAGTGTTTTGAAGATTAGAAGACATAGGAAACGACACAGTTGATAATCCATTTTTATTGTAAAAACAAATCTGATGTACATTAATGGTGAACCATTTTCATTACATATGAGATAATTTTTACAATATGATTACTTTCAAGTTATAACTACTTTGTGCATTACAACACAACTTAATGGGCATTAAAATATATACTCGAGCTTACATCTGAATGAATTTATTATTATGAAGATACTTCTCATCGGTTACCTCAAACCATAGCCACTTCGGGTCTAACGATAGGTTAAAGCCCAAATAAATGAGGAGGGTTATGAATTGGGTATAAAATCAAATACGCTGAACTGAAGAAATAATTAAAAACCATTTAATATTTGCCCTGAAAGTTAAAATGCCTTCATTTAGGAATGTTATGATGACTCATAGTGAAAACTGAGTTCCTCCGGAAGTCATGAAGCCGATGACCTTTCTAACAATTATTCTAGGTACATGAAGTATACATACAATGTAGGGAATTGGAAGAGTCATCCGTAGGCTAGAGAATACTATGCTCCATCGCGGATAATAGGCGTAAGTGCATAAGTAAGTAAGTAAGTAAGTAAGTAAGTAAGTAAGTAAGTAAGTAAGTAAGTAAGTAAGTAAGTAAGTAGGTAAGTAAGTAAGTAAGTAAGTAAGTAAGTAAGTCAGTAAGTCAGTAAGTGAAAAAGTAAGTAAGTAAGTAAGTAAGTAAGTAAGTAAGTAAGTAAGTAAGTAAGTAAGTAAGTAAGTAAGTAAGTAAGTAAGTAAGTAGGTACATAAGTAATTGAGATAAATATTATCGATCCAGTTTCGATGTACACACATAATTTCAACAAGTTAGCGCAAAATGTTGTATTCATATCTTTGAACTGCGTTACGCGGTAAGATCTACTAACTTGATATCTTCAAGGCTAAAGGAGGAA